CACAACTTGGCAAGCCCAAATGGCCAAGATGCTTTGTGCGTGGACCAAACTTGGGTTGCCCAAATAGTCAAGTCCACCCTCGCTAAAAATTTGAGATCCAGCCTTGAACCATACAGCCTCGCCAAACTTGACACCGTTACGTGCCAAGAGCTCAGGGAAGACACAACCAAGAGCTCCAAGCATGGCCCATCTGCAGTGGATCACCTCCAACTCACGATTCTTGGCAAAAGTTTCTGGATCAGCTGAAAGTCCAGCAGTGTCCCACCCGTAGTCACCAGGGAACTCACCAGTCAAGTAGCTTGGGGACTCACCAGAGAATGGGCCCAAGTACTTGACACGGTCAGGACCATACCATGGGCTACCAGAAGAGACAGTCTTGGCCTTGCTAGCAGTCTTCCTCATGGTAACTTTCCCATTTCCGGTGATTTCAGAGGAAGACGGTGAGAGTTTCACTGCCTTTCCGGCAAAAGAAGGGGAAGAAAGAGCCATTGTAGAAGCAGCCATGGTTTAAAAAGGAGAAAGAAGTGTTTTTTTTATGGCTGAAGTAATAGAGAAGTTAGCTGTGGTCATGTAGTCTGTTGGGCTAAAATATTTAAATAGGGAGTGAGGGAAAGAGTTCTTATCTTATAATATCTCTATCTACAATTTCATTGGATTTCAAGATTTCACTAGCATTAGTTCTTGTCGACTTGGCATTTTGTAATCCATCAATTTTCCAAGACTTTTAGTACTGTGGTCCAACCAAAATATGTGGTCTTAAATTGCAAACTGTCATATAAGCTTGCAGTAGGATTTTTCTGAAGTTTGAAAAATAAATTCAGGAAAAATGAAACTTATAAATTTTCTGATTTTAATCTCTAAAATTTGCTGCAACTCTGTAAGCCACAACTAAAATAATACATGAACTTAGATTTTGTGATAATGAAGGATGCATGACCAGTAATGTTTTAATCATATATAAAGGATTTTAGCCAAAGTTAATGAATTCAGGTGAACCCGTAACTAGTTTGTTGTATTCGCCTCTGCTGATAGGTGATTATAACCTCCTCAAAAGCAATTTCTACTCCATTTCACCTATAAAATAATCAGAAAACTTAAGTTATATACATCAGTAAATAAATTTTACACCATAAGATAAAAATTGCTTTCGCTAACGGTTAAGGGTGGCATGTGGGCCGGGGCCGGTTCTAAGTGGGCTTTACGGGCCCGATCCTAAGTAGGCCCAGTCCTAAGTGGGCCGGTCCTAAGTGGTCCCGGGTTTCGCAGGCTTCTTGTTGTAATCGGCCCTGGATTGGGACCACGAACTAACGGTCCCGGGTTAAGTGGGCCGGTCCCGGGCCTAAGTGGGCCCAACGAATACTTTCTATTTTTTAAAAATAATTTATAGAAGTTAGAGAAAAAAAATGAAAATAAAAATATTTAAGGCAATTCCTTGTAAATTATATTATAGAATTGTGACCTAAATTTTTTAATTCAA